GATAATAAAACTTCTTTCTTTTTTATTTAACCTGGTATTGGATAATTTGTGTGTCCTGGTTTTAGTTTAGGGCTGAGGTTTCCCAAGTGACCTCTTCCCTGGTTTTCCTTGTAATACTTGGGTGGTGGCAGCGGGGTTGTTTTTATTTCCCAAAGTCCAGCTGTTAGGATTTTGGGGGAAGTTTTGTACCAAAGCCTGTAGAGATCAGGTTTTAGGTTGCTTTTGTGGGCTCCCCACTTCTGCATTCATCGTGCCAGAGTGGGGAACAGCCTTGACAGGTGTGGAAGAGCACATGGATTGGACAAAGGCATCTTTTAGGGGAGAGTTTATTAATAGAGAAGAGCATGGAAGATGACAAAACATAGTTAAGATCAGATGAGAAAGTCAAATATAAAGAGTACCATAAAACACATCAGGAAATGGCAGACACCTAAATAGTGACAGATTTTTGAAGTGCTTATATACAAATGCTAGAAGTCTAAATAATAAGACCGGTCAACTAAAGTGCCCTGTACTTAAGGAGCCTATTGATATAATAGGCATCACAGAAACTTGGTGGAATGAGGACAATCAATGGGACATAGTCATACCAGGGAACAAAATATATTGGAAGGACAGAAGAGATTGTGCTGATGGGGTAGTAGCACTATATGTGAAAAAAAATGTAAAATCAAATTAAGTAAAAATATTAAATGAACCAAAATGTTCCACAGAATCTCTGGATAGTAATTACATTCTCTAATAAAAAAATAGCACTAGGAATATATCACCAACACCCTGACTATGAAATGCTAAGAGACATTAGAGAGGCTATGTTAAAAAAAAAAACACTCAATAATACTGAGAGATTTCAATTATCCCCATACTGACTGGATACAAGTCACCTCAGCATGGGATGCAGAGATAAAGTTTCTTGGTACCTTAAATGACAGCTTCTTGGAGCAGTTGGTTCTGGAACCCACAAAGGAAAAGGCAATTCTTGATTTACCCCTAAATGGAGCACAGGATTGGGACCTGGACCGCTTGGAAATAGTGACCATGATGTAATAAAATTTAACATCCTTGTAGTGGGAAAAACACCTCAGGAGCTCAACATGGTGGCATTTAATTTCAGAAAGGGAAACTACACAAAAATGAGGAGGTTAGTTAAACAGAAATTTAAAAGTATAATATCAAAAGTAAAATCCCTGCAAGCTGCATGGAGACTTTTCAAAGACACCACAATAGCAGTCTAACTTAAACGTATAGCCCAAATTTAAAAAAAGATAAGAGAACCAGAAAAGTGCCACTGTGGTTTAACCACCAAGTAAAAGAAGCAGTGAGAGAAAAAGGAGGCATTGTTTAAAAAGTGAGGTGTTTTGGAACAAATTGATAAACTTAACAGTAACAAGTTGCTGGGACCAGATGGCATTCACTCGAGAATTTTGAAAGAATTCAAATGTGAAACAGTGGAACTATTAACTGTGGTTTGTAACCTATCCTTTAAATCAGCTTCTGTACCTAATGACTGAAAGATAGCTAATGTGATGACAATATTTAAAAAGGGCTCTAGAGGTGATCCTGGCAATTACAGACCAGTAAGTCTAACATCAGTACTGGGAAAATTAGTTGAAACTATAGTTAATAATAGAGTTGTCAGACACATACGATGAACATTATTTACTGGGAAAAAGTCAACATGGAGTCGGAAAAGAGAAATCATAACTTATTAAGCTACTAGAGCTATTTGAGAGGGTTAATAATCATGTCGACAAGGGGGATCCAGTGGATATAGTGTACCTAGATTTCAAGAAAGCCTCTGATGGGGTCCCGCACAAAAGGCTCTTACTGAAAGTAAGCTGTAACGGGTTAAGAAGGTAGGTTCTCTCATGCATTGATAACTGGTTAAAAGACAGGAAACAAAACAAATAGTTACTTCAGAATGGAGAAGTAACTTGTGGTGATCCCAAAGTTCTGTACTGGGATTAATCCTATTTAACCTATTTATGAATGAAGTGGAGAAAGGGTAAAACAGTGAGGTGGCAAAATCCACAGATGATACTAAATTGTCAAGACAGTTCAGACCAATGCAGCCTGTGAAGAGTTTCAAAAGGATCTCATAAAGCTAGGTGATTGGGCAACAAAATGGCAAATGAATATTGATAAATACAAAGTAATCAACACTGGGATTATTTTTTCCAACAATACATACCATATGATGGGGACTAATTTAGCTATAACCACTCAAGAGAGAGATCTTGGGAGTCACTGTGGATAGTTCTCTGAAAACATCCATTCAATGTGCAGCAGCAGTCAAAAAGCAAACAATGTTAGGAATCATTAAAAAAGGGATATGGAATGAAACAGAGAATATTTTATAAATCTATATATAAATCCATGGTATGCCCACATCTTGAATACTGAGTACAAATGTGGTCACCTCATTTAAAATAAAAAAAGAAGAAGATATTTTGGCATTGGACATGGTTCAAAACAAGGGCAACAAAAATGATTAGGGGCTTGGAATAGGCCCCATATGAAGAGAGATTAAAAGAGACTAAGGAGGGATACGATAGAGGTCTATAAAATCATGACTGGTGTGGAAAAAATGAATAACGAAAAGTTATTTACTTGTTCCCATAACATAAGAAGTAGGGGGTCACTAAATGAAATTAACAGGCAGCAGGTTTAAAACAAAGAAAGTTTTTCTTCATGCAGCACGCAGACAACCTATGGAAATCCTTGCCAAAGGATGTTGTGAATGCCAGAAATTAAACGGATTTAAAAAAAAACAAACTAGACAAATTCATGCAGGTTAGATCCATCAATGGCCATTAGGCAGAATGGGTAGGAATGGTGTCCCTAGCCTCTTTTTCAAGGCTGGAAAAGGATGACAGAAGAGGGATCATTTGATGATTACCTGTTCTGATCAATCCCTCTAAGGCATCTGGCATTGGCCACTGTTAGATACTAGGCTAAATGGGACTTTTGGTTTGAACCAGTAAGTCCATTCTTATGTTCCAAGAATTAACTTAAGTATGAAGGCAAAGAAGTAGTCTAATTGCTGGATAAAGGCACAGCTGTTTATGAGAGTTTTACTAACCTCCCAGACCCAAACATTAAGTCTCATAGCACTAAGATTCAAGAAGAGTTGAAAACTAGCCACAGATATACCACTATCAACCATTACACAAATTATCTTGAGATACAGTGTTACAGGTTTTCCCAGAATCTTACATGATAAGTAGGGCCCTGTTAAATTCACAGCCATGAAAAATGCATCACAAACCATGAAATTTGGTCAACTCTGAAATCTGGTGGTTTGAGTGCTTTCACCCTATACTACACATATTTCATGGGGAAGAACAGCATTTCTCAAATTGGGGGTCCTGACTCAAAAGAGAACTGCAAGGGGGCCACAAGATTTGGGGGGGAGGGTCAGAATATTTTTACTTTTACGTCTACACTTCATTCAGCGCTGGGCACCTCGAGAGAAGTAACTGTAGGTGAGGCACACAACTATAAAGGTAACAGCTCAGAAGTAAGGATGGCAATACCATACCATACCAAATCATAATTGCTTCTGTGCTACTTCCTTCAGAATAGGGTGGCCAAAGACTGGAAGCTGCTGTTTGAGAACTCAACTCTACAGGCAGCAGCCTAGAAGTAAGAGTGGGAATACCATACAATGTCATTCTTACCTCAATGCCTAACCTGGCAGCATCTCTGCCATTAGAAGTGGGCTCCTGGCCACTGGCCACCGCTTTTCAGCTTTGAAGTCAGTGCCACTGCCAGTGTAGAACTAAGGGTAGCAATACCATAAGTCCTCTATAATAATCTTGCAATGATCCCAACCCTTCCCTGAATTCTTTTTTGGGTTAGGACCCTTCCAAATATAACACTATGAAATTCCAGATTTCAATAGCTAAAATCATGAAATTTATAATTTTTTAAATCCTAGGACTATGAAATTGATCAAAATAGACTGTGAATTTGCTAGTGTCTTAATGATAGACAATTATTTTGTCCATATGTCACTTTTGTGCTGGATTATACAAGATTTGATATGCAAATATACTCTACAAATGATCACCTAATTATCTAATAATTTTAATTTGTTCAAGGCATTCATTAATGAAAAGCACTAAAACAAAGGTGAAATGTACTTTTTTTTTACTAAAAACAATATACAGTGGATCATACAGGATAGTTTACATTGATTAATTGCATGCAATATTCAGTTAATAACTTTACAATTTTCTACTAGGGATATATGATACATATTAGGGATATATGATACATATTAGACAATTAACTCATATATTTAATTGTTTTCTAGTAATGACCAATGTTCCCTCTAACCTTTTCCATCCATGTGCAGATTTTTCCATCCATGTGTGGAATAATGTTATGTGGACCAATGCATGTGTGAATGTGCACCACAAATAGAAACAGAAAACCCACTGTGGGAACTCTGCTAATCAACTGGGTGCCATATGAATTTCTCCTGAATGGGCACACAAGCACACAGCTTACAGGAAAACACTGGAAATGACCTTTCTGTTGTAAAATATTAAATAAAACAAACTGTTAAGTGTCTTAACAAATTCAGTAACAACTCTGGTACCTGTTCTTGCACTTAAAAACAAAACAAAAACACACCACCACTGCTGTCAGCTGGAGACTATGAAAACAGATTGTTTTATTTAGATACCTCAAATAACTACCCCGTAATGTCCCAAAGACTCAATATTATGAAAGAGGTAAGTTAATAGTGGAACTACTATAATTAATGGAATAATAGAAATTACATTTTGTATCAGCAGTTAGCAGATTTCAATGATAGCCTCTAAATCTTCTAGAAGGCCTCATGATTTATGACCCTTTTTAAACACAGTAGAAATCATGGACCTAGACATACTGAATCTAGTCTTAGAATCAGAGCCCAATTCCTAAATATGACACTACTGAATGGAACACATGGTATTTATATTGTATATCTACTATTTAACTGGAATTACCTTAGCAGCTGCTGCC